CGTGTGTGTGTGTGTGTGTGTATTTATATATATTCAAACATCTTAACTAACGCCATTAATGTTGTGCAGGTTTACGAAAAATAAAATCATAACCCAAATTTTGTTAGTACAGTGGATGGGAGGCAAAGTTTAGCGTCAGACTTAACTGACGCACGCGTAAGCGTCAGGTTTAGCAGTCGCATACGTAAGCGTCAGACCTAGTAGTCGCATGCGTAAGCGTCAGACTTAGTAGTCGCAAGTGTAAGCATCAAACGTAGTAGTCGCATGCTTAACCGTCAGACTTAGTGTTCGCAATTGTAAGTCGCAAACCCGCAATTTTAAGTCTCAATTTTAACGCGTCAGACTTATGCGTCACACTTAGTGGTCGCAAGACCAAAAGTCAGACTTGATATACATACTACATACAAGTCACAACTCATCACAAGGTGACAAGAAGTAGATTATTTATTTAAGAATTACATCTGTATTTTATAATCAATTGTCATAGACTCATAGACTATAGACATATGTAGGACATGCTGAATTGCTGATTGATGAGTCACGGTGTTATGCCGTCGTGGACTTGACAATTTCGAATTTGGCACAATGTTGCAGAATGCATACGAATAACGAAGTGTGTCCCACTGACACACTGTCACTGGTGAGTGGTGAGTGGTGAGTGGTGACCTGGTTCCAGACTCCCAAGTCCCAAGTCCCAAGTTCTGTGCACTGAGCAACGTCCTTCGGACGTTAGTTTGATCCTCTATATTTATTTTAGTTCTTTTTTTATTTTTCTTGTAGAGAGTCATGACTGTACACTATACAGTGTAAATAAATATACTGTGAATACAAGTGTAAATACACTGTACAGTGACCCTGTCTGAGAGTCTGGCTTTGGGACAGGATGGATTTTCATCTCCCTCCCTCCAGACTCCCGAGGGTCAAGGAGACATGGACTCATGGTGACTTGGTCTCATGGACCATTCACCATAGCCTTTTAAAAAAATGCAACTTTAGAAAGCTACATAGTGCATATGTAAATAGATGGACCGTTTGATTTAGAAGGCTATACATGGACCTCGCCATAAAATTCGCCATGTGTATGACTGACAACCATTGGCCAATATCTAACTAGAGCATATCTGTTGATCAATAATTCATAGAGGACAAAAAAAAATTAAAAAAACATTTAAAAAAAAAGAGAACGAGAATTTAGCAAAGGGCTTATTTAGCTTTTTTTTATATAACAAAAAGCATACTGAATATGTATGACTGTATTCATGTATGGTGCTGTAAATACACTGATTTCTCATATCGAATCAAATACCGTAGATTCACATCTTTTAAATATATGTGGCTTTTTTTTTGCAACGTGCGCCTTTGAATACACTTCAAAAAAAAGAATGCTGTATGGTGCACCATCTATATTTGTTTATTTTAAAGAATGTATGCGTATGTATCGCGTTCCTCGGTTCCTGATCAGTGGTCACAGTGATCTACTATGATGAATGACCTCTCGCTCTCTTGTTTTGATTCATGATTGACAAACCGTAGGCTTTTGTTCATAAGAAAATCAACCGTGAAATAATCGGACATTAAGTTCTGGCTTTCGGCTTTCCGCTCTCAACTTCGCCCAAATCCCAAGAGGAATAGAAGAATGGAACTGCCCTGAGTATTTACGCAATAGTGTTCATGTACCCACACGTATATAAACCAGAGTTGGATATCTTTTCCTACATATTAAAGTAACGACAACATACTACAAAGCTACTCATAGAAACCGGATTAAATTTTTGAAAATGACAACCACCAACATGAACGAGATTAAAGCCAACGAAGCCGGTCAAACCAATCATGGAACCGATACAACAACAGAAACGTCAGGGGGTCTTGTAGGTGCAGTTGCCAGTGTCGTGAATATGCCACTGGCTGCATACGGTATGGCACACAAGGCAGTATTCGGTGAAACTGAGGGTCACGATGAGAATACGCCCGCGGATGACCCTAAGGATAGAATCGCTAAGGACACGGACACCGATACAGAGACGAACGGGTCAACTGACACAAACGTAACGGTAAACGAGTACCGCGAAAGCAAAGATACCTCGGAGATATCCGGCAGTGATCCAATTGCGACCGTAACACGTGTAACTCGTGCAGACGTAGAAATCGCCACTGTCGCCGTTGACACGGATGCAGACGCACAGGATCAAGCATCAGCAGAGGTGATAAAAAGTTCGCCGAGTGCGGCTGTGATGGAAGTCGAGGAGGTTTTCGAAGTTAGAGCAAAATCAATGGAACAGGAAGAAACAAAGGGTACTGTCAAGACCGTGACTGATGCGGTGGAGGAAGATGCATTCTCGGAGGAAGTAGACGATGGTGCTGTCATTGCTAAAGCAGAGTTCTTTGAGCACAATAGTGAGACGGATGATCCAGTGATGAAGAGTGCACCGGTAGACATTGAGGTCAAGAAAGGAAATGTCGACGCTAAAGCCGATATTTTTGATAACAACAGGGCCAAAGCCGCCGAGGCGGAGCCCTTCGAAAAAGATGCCGTGGATGTTGATGCGGGTTTAGTGGATGAGAACGCCAAGTTATTTGATGACGGTATTACGGTGCAGAATGCAACGTTTGCAACCAATGAGACCGAAGAGTTACCATCAATGGACGGAATTGTGGACTCAAAGGCAAAGATGTTTGAAGAAGCAGAAGTGCAAAATACCGAAGAAGAAACACATACCGAAGCCTCGGTGCCCGTAGCAGAGGGTGCTGTAAATACTAATGCAGAACTTTTCGCCCAGAAGAAGATACACAATGCTGAAGCCATCGACACTACAAAGGATATTGAAGGCGGAGATGTGAGTTCGCGTAAAGACCTTTTCGAGCATGCAAATACACACAAACCCGAGCAAATGGTCGCTGGGGCTGGTGAGTTACAAGAACAGACCGGAGTTGTAGTGGCCAAGACAGAACTATACGAGCACGTCGAAACCATGGCACCCATCCCCAATGTCTATGAAAAAATGGAACTCCAAAAGGAGACTGGAGACGTTGTCACCAAAGCAGAACAATTCGAACACATCGACTCCACTGATCCTTCCGCGGTATCCAGCAAGCTCAATGGAGAAGAGATTAAAACTGGCAATGTGAGTCTGCGTAAGGATCTTTATGAACATATTGACACACAAAAAGATGAGCCAATGGTAGCCGACACCAGTGAATCGGAAGAACAGACGGGTGACGTCGTTGCCAAAACAGAGCTCTACGAACACATCGACACCATGGCACCCATCCCTGATGTATATCAGCATACGGAGATTCAAAATGGGACAGGGGATGTTATCACCAAAGCTGAGCAATACGAACATGTCGAGGAAACAGGACCCACCACAGTAGCAAGCGAGGGTGCAGAGATTGAAGGTAACGTAGACGCCAAGAAAGACCTGTTTGAGAACCAAGCCGTACCAGAGGTTGATGGTTCCACTGATGTTGTCGAGGGTGAACTGATCAATGAGGGTAACGTGTATGCCACCAAACACGTCAAAAGCAAACAGGTGGGCGAGAACACTGCAACAACGCCTGCGCAAATAGACGAGAAGGAAGGGGTAGAGGCAGATACAGCTGATGCGCAAATGGATGCAGAGGAAAACGTCGCAATCGTAGCTGCTGAAATTACACAGACTGTGGAAGTAGAGAAAGTTGAGGGCGCTCCTTCGGTCGGGGATGTAACGCTTCCGCAAACGAGCGTTATGACTACACAAACAATAGTCGGTGGTGTACAAGACAACGAATTGGAAGCATCGAGTAAGCTTGTAGGCACAAAAGCCATAAAAATAGAGGAAGCGGATGGTGATGTCAAGGCTGTCGAGGCTGTTACTATTAGTCCCAGCGCTTGAGTGAGATATTACAATAAACCAAATAAATTAGTATAAAATCCTTTTTTAGTCACAACTTTTTTGTAGGACATTTTGCCCGCGTACAAGCTCTGTTGATCTATTCTGTACGTTTTAGCTATTTTTATTGCTATACTATACCTCCTCTTGAAGGTTAGAAGCACTCTTGGAAACGAATAAGTGTTGTTTGCTGCCTGCCATGAGATGTTAACTATCTTGTCCTAATTGTGAATATCAGAATTTAATATTCCTATGCATTTGTGGCTACTTGAGGCTCTGGTATAGAGAACAATGCGATAGTGCAGATTTCCCGATCGAGTTGGTCAGGCCGTCCCATTCACAGCCCCATTTCTAACCTTCGCATTTACCAAACAGCACTTGCATACTTTAACATACAGATGACTATAGATACGCGTGAATAATTTCCTGCGCCATTTCTGATATCATGCTTGCCTTCCTGTAGTGGAATCTAGTACACTATGATATAAAACGCAACGTCAATCCCATGTGCCATTGTCGATGCAATATACGCCTTGCGGACGCGCAACACGCCTGCTACATAAGTAGTAGCAATTTCCTGCGCCGCTCCTAACACAGCCCACGCTTTCCAGTAGTGTATGTTGACATCTCCATCGAAGTACACTCCGTCGCCCTCATAGCACCAGGCAACGTTTTGCCCGTGTAGCAACTTGAGAAAGGCACCCTCTATAATCTCCAGCAACCAGATGTTCAGCGGGTATAAGGCAATTCTCAGCCACCAGAATGGCACCACATGGCGGTACAGGACTATAAGTATGGGCGTATACAGCACATTGCAATACCTGAAAGAATGATCCGGATAGACGTTGTGTGTAAGCGTATATATTTGAGAGTTCTCAGAAAATCTTTACTGATTCCTACCTCTGTCTGCTACTCTCTCGAGGCAATGAAACCATGAATCGATACCCTAAATCGTAGCCAATTGTACATAATTGTGTATACTCTAGGTGTTGAGTTGCACGATAACTGTTTTGCAAGTACTGTAGACGTTGTTTAACCAGCATGCGTGGCAGACAGAATCATGTACATCAATATCTAAACTCTCCAGGGTCATAGTCGATGTGCATGAGGTCCAGAATGAGTTAAAATGAAACGGCATAACAACAACACATCCAGATGTATGTATATGTGCGCACGACGTTATGCTATGGTAATACTATGCTATTTGAGAAACCACACGTGATTGCGCAGATATTCTACCAAGTATTGTTGTGTAGCGCTTCATATAAATCATATACATACAGATGTATGTATATGTGCACACGACGTTATGCTATGGCAATACTATGCTATTTGAGAAACCACACGTGATTGCGCAGATATTCTACCAAGTATTGTTGTGTAGCGCTTCATATGAATCATATACTACAGATGCATGTATATGTGCCCACGACGTTATGCTATGATTATACTATGCTATTTGAGAAACTACGCGTGATTGCGCAGATACTCGAAGTATTGTTGTGTAGCGCTTCATATGAATCATATACATACATATGCATGTATATGTGCCCACGACGTTATGCTATGATTATACTATGCTATTTGAGAAACTACGCGTGATTGCGCAGATACTCGAAGTATTGTTGTGTAGCGTTTTATATAAACCATTTACTCAATGGCATATATACATCCAATAAATATATGTGTCGACTATAGTCTAATACGTAGCGAAATAAAGGTGAGAAGCACGCCTTTGGATGTACATAAGAAAATCTGGGAATCACATCTGAAGTAATTTCATCTTAAACTAACTTTAATGCATCGACCGTGAATGTCATACACTTGAGGTATACGCTATAGGTAACAATGTATGTATAACTTGTTTAAAGACGTGTATCTATTGGATAGAATTTAGTACAGCTTATCATAGGCACCCCTCCACAGCACACACAATTAAACGTCGCTACAGGTAATATGACTTACAGTAGGTGTTTAAACAAATATGTACATCTATTGGATAGAGTTTTGTGAAGCTTATCATAGATACCCATACAGAACATACAATTGAAGATCGCTACAGACAATAAAACTTAACTTACATTTTTATGTAAAGCTGTGTATCTATCGGATAGAGTTTTGTACAGCTTATCATAGGCAACCCTATACAGCACATACAATTAGCGGCCGCTACAGACAATAAAATTTACCTTATGTATCGGTATAAAGCTGTGTATCTATCGGAAAATTTTTGTACAGCTTATCATAGACAAACCTACACAGCACATACAATCAAAGATCGCTACAGACAACATGACTTACCGTATATATTTGTACAAAGATGTGTATCTATCGCATAGAGTTTTGAACGGTTCTTCATAGACACCCCTACACAGCACATACAACTTGAAATGGCTACAGACAATAAAAAATATCGTACATATTTGTAAACAAGTGTGTACCTATCTGATAAATTCTATACAGCTCATCATAAACCCTACACAGCATATACAATTGAAGATCGCTGCAGGCAATAAAACATAACGTATACATTTCTAAACAGGTGTGCATCTATCGGATAGAGTTTTGTACCGCTTATCACAGACACACCTACACAGCACATACAAATAAATATCGCTACAGACAATATAACTTAACGTATGCATGTGTACAAAGATGTTTGTCTATCGGATAGAGTTTTGTACAGCTTATCATAGACACCCATACATAGCACATGCAATTAAAAATCGTTACAGACAATAAAACTTAACGTGTTTATTCATACAAAGATGAGTCTCTATCAGATAGGATTTAGTACCGCTTATCATAAACACCCCTACACAGCACAAACAAATAAAGATCGCTATATCGGATAGAGTTTTCTACCGTTTATCATAGCCACCCCTACATAGGACATACAATTCAAGATCCTTACAGACAATATAAATTTACGTATGTATTAGTAAAAAGATGTGTATCTGTCGGATAGAGTTTTGCACAGCTTATCATAGACAACCCTACACATCACATACAATTAAAGCACGCTGCAGACAATTAAACTTAACTTATGCATTTGTACAAAGACGTGTAGATATCGGATAGAATTTAGTATAGCTTATCAAGGACACTCCTACACAGAACATACAACTAAAAATGGCTACAGACAGTGAAAAACTTACATATTTGTACAACGATCTATCTCTATCGGAAATAATTCAGCAGCGCCTATCATAGATACACCTACACAGCACATCCAAATAAATATCGCTACAGACAATATAACACCCATACATAGCACATACAATTAAAAATCGCCACAGACAATTAAATTTAACGTACTTATCTATACAAAGATGTGCCTCGATCAGATAGGATTTAGTACCGCTTACCAAGATCGCTACATCGGATAGAGTTTTCTACCGCTTATCATAGCCACCCCTACATAGCACATACAATTGAAGTTCGCCACAGACAATAAAACGTATTCGAGAGTAGACAAGCTTAGTACGCTGAGTGAGAGCGCACAGACAAGGGTGTCACAAGTTACCGTGTGAACAATCCTATATATAAATAAGAACAGTTCGCGTTCTCTAATAAGTACGTATAGTGTTTTTTTCTGGCATATGTTTTGCTTTAAATTGAATCTTATTTTGAGCATGTGCTATGTTTAAATTATAGCTATATATTTATCAAACTCTTTGTTACAAATTATAGTCGTATTTCCAACACGAGGAATGTTTCCATCTTAATCCAATCCATAGTATGTCTGTTATATTTCAATTACGATACTCATGTATGATATTTCAACTATAGAAACTATTTTTAGCAAGTTCTTCGTTTCATAAAGTGTCGATGTTAAAACTACCACGTGTCCATACAACAACATCTTCCAAGTCCTATACTTATGTGCGAATGTCGTACGTACATAGCCCTCGAGATCGTGCATCCCAAGGCGGAGTACACGTATTAAAGTATATAATATGTTTCAACTATAAAAATTAATTTAAGCGTGTTCTTCATCCCATTATATACCTCAAGTGCCAGACTACAAAACTATACAAATTATATACCTATATATGTGCGAAAGTTGTATGTGGCCCTCGAGATCGTGCATCCCATGGCGGAACACATGTATTGCATTCTAATATTAGACAAAAGCATCCTCCAAAATGCATATTATTGTGCGAAAGTCGTGTGTAGCCCTCGAGATCGTGCATCCCATGGCGGAACAAACGCATTACATTCCAATATTAGTCTCCATAGCCTTCTGAACATAGAACACAGAAGGCTATGGATTCTCATGTATAATGTTTCAATTATAAAATCTATTCTTAAAAAACTTTTATTTGCATTATTTTTATAGACCATCCAGTATCCAGACAACAACATCCTCCAAAATACATACCATTGTGCGAAAGTCGTTTGTGGCCCTCGAGATCGTGCATCCCAAGGCGGAACAAACGTGAGCGTGAAATCCGGGTTTACGAATGTACAAGCATACCATGTTGCTTCTATGCAAGAGAACGCTGTTGCCGCCACAACTGCCAGAATCTTCACCTTATAAGGTGTGAATAGCAACCACAAGAAACGACTATAAATACTACTACAAACTGAAGCAATTGCATGGTGGTGTGCTAGCTACTAGAAGTGAATGCACGATGATGCACTGACTTGATATGCTGTGCACACAGTTTTTATTCGAGATGAGGAAAGGATTTAACTCAACACTGACCACATTGCGTCTGTATGGAAAGATAGTATTTGTGAGATCGTATCGGTGCTCAAAAGACTGGGAGGTTGAAGTTTGAACTGATAACGCCCAAGCGCATAGAAATAAATATTTGAGGGCACAGTTGTTGGCTTTTTATTTTTGCTTTTTATCAAAAAAAAACCGCAGGGCGCAGGGCCGCAGGCCCTAGCGGCCCAGCCAGCCCGTGAAATGTCACGGAAAACGCCACGGATATGAGTCATAAATTATTTATTTTTAGATATTGGTCTGAAATTTCTGATTGTCTGCGTATACAAAACATGATGAGACTGATAGGCGATAGGCGATAGGTGTCGTCCCATCACCTCTACTAGAGTAGAGTATGTAAATATTGATCACCTAACTATAACAGTATTTACTTAGCGTGACAAAACACTAGCAACTAACTGACTTGCCAAGATACTGTGTACTATATGCCGTTGTAGTTTCTTTCATACTATCCTGGATTAGTGTATAAGTGCTACTATAACCATTCCACTATTTTTAAATACAATCAAAGCATTCGGTTAACGACACAGAGTGAGTAGTTTGGTGACAGTACAAAGGCATCATGTTGCTTCGAGTACGATCCCCCGATGGCATGAAGCGTATATCGCTCGAGGCTTCTGATACGATCATAAATCTCTTACAGTTGGTTGAAGCTGAGTGTAGTGTGGAAGCGGGCATGTACAGCTTATATGCAGAGATAGCTAAGAAGCAGACAGACATTACGGACTTGGAGGCGACTGTGAGGGTAGCTGAATATTTGAAGCATGGAGATATGCTTACTTTGAAGGTCTTGGATACGCAGAGTGATATGGTTATTGATGAGCCCTTCGGTATGTGTGTATGTGTGTGTTACCCTTGGCGTGTGTGTATGTGTAGCCATATGATGTGCTCGCAGACGTTTTGCGATAGAACTTTTATGCACAGAGAGCTAGGAATCAGGAAGCATGGAGGTGTGTATACACTGAAGTTCTTCATGTGTATATATTTGATGAGATTATTAGTGACGTCATGCATCGTGTTGCATGTGAAGTGCACAGCTTTGAGGTTGACGTCTATGATATAGTCGGTTGTATGTATGTATGTATTTTATATATGTATGTATCTATGTATGTATCTATGCATGTATGTATCTATGTATGTGTGTTTGTATGTATCTATGTAAGTATGTATCTATATATATATGTATCTATGTATCTCTGTATGTGTCTGTGTGTGAATACGTGCGTGTCTATACGTATGTGTACGTATACATTCTTCCATACATACTTAAAAACAAACAATAAGCTTATGTACCGACATATATGTATACATACAGACATATATGCATACATACATATCATACGCACATTACTATATATATATATATATATATATATATATATCTATGTACATATATGTATATGTATATATATATATATATGTATATATAGTGTGTGAGAGAGTGAGTGTGTGTGAGAGAGTACATATATATGCATTTATATATATATATATATAATAATAGAACTACCCTAACACACACACACAC